CTCTTGTTCGTTCAAACCGATCCCTAAATACGCAACTTGTTCTGGCTTTGCTCCTAGTTGGAAGGATTGTTTGTTTTCATTGGGCTCGACTCGATACTCCTCGTCCACTCTAGGATCAAGTTCAATATCCAACTCTTCTTCAATCCGAGGGGATACAATATTGACATCTCGGGTATTCCCATGAAAGGGCTTAAGGCGTAAACTTGCGAAGTAGCATTCCCTGGCTATTTTTTGATCGGCATGGACGGTAACAATTTGGCCTCTTTCAGACGAAAATTTCATAGCCAAGTGCGGAGTGGAAACAATGGCCTTTAATTTGTTCAGGGATGGTCTACCGAGTAGTATATTATAAGATGTGTTCGCGTGTACTACAAGATAAGTGACTCTTATGCGTTTGCCCTCATGCTCTGATCCAAACGAGGTATACAAGTCAATACACCCCTTGGTCTCTACTCGTTCCCCGGAAAAACTGACCAATGGCTCATGATATTCTTTGAGTTCTTGTTTTGAGATGCCTAATTGCTTGAACGTATTCCAGTATAGGATATCGGCCGAGCTCCCTTGGTCAATTAGTGTTTTTTGAACAGTACAGTTAAGAATGTCTACACTAATTACCATGGGATCATCCTGTACCGGATCGACTCCCTGAAAGTCGTCGTCAGTGAACGTAATAGGCGGGATCCGGATTCTGCTGCCCAATGAAACATTATTAACAGAACAGACATGCCGAAGATGCCTCTTTCTAGCCAAATGGGTAGGTCCTCCACCAGCGAACCCTCCGGCTATGGTGTTAATGACCCTTTTCGGATACTTATCTTGTTCAAATCTTCTAGGTGGGAGCTCTCTGGACCTGCTCCTGTGCCGCTCAAATTTTTTGTCGTCGGATCTCTTTGATGAATCAGGGTGGCGGTCTCTTCCTTTGTTGGATTGCCTTATGGGATCTGTCTGTACAAAATTTTTCAGGTGTCCACCTTTAATCAATTCTTCAATTTTGTCTCTTAGTGCCGTACACTCCTCGGTAGTGTGCCCCCTGTTCTGATGGTATCGGCAAGATTTACTTTTATCTGCCCGAGGGGGAGTGTTAGCGCGTCTAGGCATTCTCAATATTTTTGTGGCCAACGCTTGCTCAAGTATTCTGGATTGATTAGAGTTGAGCGTCGTGTAGGAAGGATACTTCGGTCCTCGAGGTGGTCGCTCAAGTTCATTTCCTCTGTCGTTCCCCCGCCTTGCTTTAAAGGTCTCCCTTCTTTCTACATTTTTTGAGTTAGATCCTTGTTCCATCCGTACCTGGCTCCGGTATTCGGACAATTCTTCCATTTGCATATATTTCGCAGCCCGACTACTTAACTCATCTAGGTCGATCGGGGGTTTTTTGCAGAGGCTATTAACGAAGGGTCCTGGCTTCAGCGCTGTTGTTAGGTGGTGCATAGCCACTGCTGGTTCCAAGTTATGAATTGAAAGAGTCACTTTGTCAAAGCGTTCCATGAACGCTCTAAGTGATTTTCCTTTCTCTTGGCGAATGTTGACTAGGGCCAAGGATGTCAGAGGATGGGGCTGGCTTGTGGCGAACTGCAAGTTGAAATGTCTTGTGAGAGTTACGAATGAGTCGATGGAGAGGGGGGGAGTCGGGTGAACCAACTAAGCGCAGGTCCTCGAAGTGAAGTAGGAAAGATTCTGCACCATAAGGCATCGCTTTCTGTGTACAGACCGACCTGTGTTGTAAAGATGTCCACATGTTCTCCGGGTCGGATATGCCATCGTATTTGTCTATTGCCAACCCTCTCCAATTATCGGGCAGCTTAGCTTATAGAATGCGGTGAATGAACGGGCTCTGGTTCACAAGTTTGTCTCGGTCGTTTCTGGTTACCGACTGATATACGTGTCTTGATTTTTCTTGCAGCGTTGATGATTCTCCTTGATCTTGGACGATGGGAGTAGTTAGGGAGGGGACATGTGTCCTTATTTCTTCCCTTAGGCCGACATTTTCCCTTCTTAGGGCTGAGAGTTCCAGTGCATCTCTTTCGCGCTCCTTCTTCATCTCCACCATTTCTGCCCTTAGCTGCCTCAGTACAGCTAGAATGCTTTCTTCCGTTCCTCCCTGTATTACCACTTCAGGTACTGGTTCCTCTGGCGTGACGCTCTCCATTTGTTGCCTAGAAGTCCCTTCCTGCTGGCTTCTCGTCATTACCATGCTTAATCCTGAGTAATGAAGTTAATCGCGCCCCACGGTGGGCGCCAAAATGTTCCTCCCGGGAAACAACTGTCTTCAAACCTCTGATCAGGTGTCCTTCTGATGATTGGCGGATAGGGAGAATACCTGCAAAAGGCACTCCGATGATAAAGTCAGGATTCGGTTCTGAGTAATAAATGTTATTTAATGATGGGAAGTCAACCCCTTACCTGTATTTCTTACCTTCTTTTTATAGACATTCTATTGGGCTAATGGGCCTGAGTCAGCTTTTATACTGTGGCCCATAGTATTTTGACTATTATCTTTAATTGGATTATTTACCTTTTAATCCTGACGAGGGGTACCCAGTCTAGTATGCCGAGTAGGTATTCGGTTTCTTTTTCCTGAGGGTGGAACCGAGTTGATTCCTTTCCCAGTACAAAAAGTATGTTTAACTTTGAAAATTAATTATAGCCAGTGAGTTTGTCGTGCATTACACGTTACTGTCAACTTAAAAAGAATTTTTTAAATAAAGTAAAGTTATATTGCATGATTATTTTTAAATTTTATATTAAAAAACATTTTTATTAATAAAAAAATATTATATTAAATAGACTAAATTAAAAAAAAAAGAAATGGAATACAAAATATTCAAATTTTAAATTAAGATTGAATTGCAAAATAAATATTGAATATAAGAAAAGTCAAATAATATAACAAAAAAAATAACAAATCCTAAAAGTACTCTTATTTAAGATAATTCTTAAAAGCATTTTTATTTGAAAATGAGAACTCACATGAAGAACTTAAAATAATTTAAGAAATAATAATTTTAGATTATTTAAAAGCTTTAAAGTATCACAATAATCATTTTTAATATATATATATATATATATATATATATATATATAAGAGGTTTTCAAAGGCTGGAATAAATAAGCTCTTATTCATCTTCATTATACTTATCTTTATTCATTTCTAGGTTTGATAATACTTTATTATTGATTTTCAAATTTTACCCAAATCCCAACTAAACTTGCAAATTTGTTATATCTTTGCATCACTTAGTGCACAGAACTGTTAATGGTACCAACCAGTTGGTGGGATATCTGTAAATATAGATTTTAGTTAGAGCAAGATGAAACTTTAGCATCAACCTTAGTGATGATGATATCTTAATCTTATCACAAAAGAAGTTGCATCCATGAGATGAGGCAATCTTACCTAAAACCCAAGAGCAAACACAACGACCGTTTCTTAATCATACAACAAAATAACAATATTTCATTATGTTACCTTAACTTCCCCGTAAATCAACAGTTACATCAATTTCAAGTATACAAAAAAAATTAGACAGGAAAATGCAATATTATTATTCTCGTAGAACACAAAGTAAATTCCCTTCACTTTCCTTTTTCTTTTTCTTCTTTTTCTTTCATGTTTTTGAAAAACCCTTCTTTAAAGAATACCAATTTTCTAGCATCTTTTCAGAATTTTAAAATAAAATAAAGATATCAGTATCATTCGTTTAATAGTTTTACGTATATTTTAAATTTGTATGTTGTATAAACACGAGACTAGTTACTTCTACTAAATATATTTCTTTTTTAATACATAAAATAGTTTTTTAACCATTTAATGTTATGTGTACGTTAAAATATGGTATAAAATTATGATATTTAACTATTTTTTATTAATTTTAATGAATTATTTATAAATTTTTGTAAAAAAAAAATATTGTTTATACAGGTTTACTCTTACTTATCTTCTTAATAATTTTTTATTATTTTATAAATTATATATATATAATAATAAATTTCATTATATCCTTTTATGAATCTTTCTAATAATTATTGTTATATCTCATGAAATTTGTATTAAATGATAAAATATAAGTATTTATTATCTTCAAATATATATAATTTTGTTATTTCATAATAACTAAAACAATAATTATTCTAGAGGCGTTCACGGTTTAATTCAATTTTTACTCAAAAATTTATTAAAAATTATTTAAAAATTCAAACTAAACCAAATCATAAAATATAAGTTTAATTTGGATTAATTTGTTATTTTTATTTATTATTAATTATTTTATTTTCAAAATTTAATGTAGTATTATGAATTTTAATTTATTTTTAAATTTAGAATAAAAATAATTTAAAAATTGAAATGAGTTAATTAAAAAATGTGATTAAAAGTATAAAATTATAAAATAAATAATAAATTATTGATAGAAAAAAAAAGATATTCAATTAAAAAATAAGAATCTAAAATAAATAAAATGATTCATCTATATTTATATGTTAATATTAAATTAAATAAAAAAGTTAATTTTTATATAAAAGATAATAAAAATAATATAAATTTATTATAAATACAGTTAGATTGAATTCAATTTTAATAATTAAAAATTGAATCAAACTACAATATAAAACATAATTCTTTTAGTTTTTTATTTTTGTTACATTAATTTAATAGTGTAAAAATGGCTTAATCTAATTTTGAGTCCCCAAATTATTCTATTTAATAACTTTTTATATAAATGCTAAATTTTATTAATTAATTATTAAAGTAAAAATCCTTCTTAACTAAATTAATTTAAAATAAAATTATATAAATAAAAAATTAGTAAATAATTTATCAAATAATTTTATTTTAATATTAAATATAAATAAATATATTATTTTATAATAAAAGTAATAAAATATAATATTTATAAAAAATATTAAACGGAGTAAATGAAGCAATTTGATGCCATCTCTTAATCTCTCTCTCTCTCTCTCTCTATATATATACATATATATATATATATAACGGAGACGGTGGTTGGATGGATGATCCTTCCAAGTTCGAACCTTTCTTGCTGTGGGGAGAAATGGAGAGTGACTTGCATCAAAGATGGGAAGGCAGGGTTTCAGCAAATCTGAGAAACGCCACAAAAGAACAAGCGTGGCCACTTGTGAAGGACTTCTTCAATCTCCACAAACGCTTCCCTACACTCGCCACGTGCTACGGGATCCACGGATCAAACGGTGAACCTGGCTGCATACGATACTGTGCCGGCTCCTCCATCGCATCCAACGGCTCTGGAAGCGTTAGCTGGTCAAAGGAGAGACTCGTAGCCGTTGATGATTTTGACTTGATACTAAAGTATGAGATCGTGGATAGCAACATTGGGTTTAAGTCGTACGAGTCAACGATCAAGGTCCTCAGCACCGATGACTCTGATGGATGCATGTTGGAATGGTCTTTTGCCGTTGACCCTGTTGAAGGGTGGGTGTTTGAGGATCTCGTGGGGAAGTACCATGTGGGCCTTCAATTTATGGCCCAGAAAATGGAGGAAGAAATTGCAAGTCCACTGGGTGAAATTATGTGTTGAAAAAAACAAGCGAGTGGAATTATGTTAAAGGAAGTTGCTTTCATTTTTTATTTTTTTTTTTAGTTTGTTGTTGTGTTATTTATGGGTTTTGAGGGAATATATAATAATAATTATTTATTAAGCATTATAATATTGTTTAGTTGTTTGGGAATTTAATTTTCATATTAAATTCTATTAATCGAGATTATAGATATGCAATCAAGCCTCTGGTTTTCCTAACCGGTTTTCCTAACCGAATTCAATTAAGAATTATTCTGAACAAGGTTCTGTTCCAATTGGATCTAGATCTATCAATTCTTAAGCATTGATAGTTAAAAATGTAAAAATCAGAATCAAGAAGCGAGGTAGAATTCAAATCGATATTCAAGCACAAGATCTAATGTGAAGAATTCTTTAGGTTGAATCCTAGCCTTCCATCTTCATTCTTGGCCTATTTTACAGAATCTTGGCCCAACTACTGTAGTAACGTTACAGCACAATTCTCAAATAGAGCATGACTGTATCAAGTTTCGAGGCCCGCATCAAAGTTGCAAAGCTCTCTGTTAACTTTCTAACAAGCCGAAGATCACTCCAATCCGATATCTATAGATCACAATATAGCCTGCAAATGACAGAAAGGTCAAGAAAAATGTGAAGTCTAAATATTAGAGTAAAATTCACGCAATTTATCAATTAAGCCCAACGTCATTAAATTAATTTATTTCAGCAATTTCAGTGTAAAAACAATGTCAACAAGACAAAAATAACACTAATTAATTGCACAAATTATTACTCTATCAATATTCTAAGGTTAAGCACATAGAAATTAAGCATCATTTCACCAAAGATTATGTTCAAAAAGAGGATATTCAATATTTTGTTCATTGATATCGACAACTAATGGGAAAACATATCCACCACAAGCCACGGTTCAAAACTGTCCATACAAAACAATTGAGGAATAGAGGGTGATGTAAACAATACGATTTAAGCAGAGTAGATTAATCGAAAGAGTGCTTTGAGTACTATTTGTAAAAAAAAGTACCACTTAAGCTTAACCTCTCTTTGGTTCTATGGACAGAAAATGAGGGAAAGAAAATTTTGAAATTTGAATTGAAGGAAAATTGAGAGGAAAGAAAATTTAGCTTTTGTTTTTCTAAAAGACAACTTTCTCTCCTCTCCATTGTCTATTCAATCAAATAAAAAGAAAGGACATCGTTATCCTTACCTATTTACCATTAATATATTCAAGCAGGTGCCGATCAAGCTCAAAATGTCGAGAGAGAAGCCCCTGCAATCCACAATCCACATGGTATGGTGAAACTCGAGGTCAGAGATGTGACTAATTGAACAATGCTCTAGTGTGCTTGAATAACGATGATCACAAGGCACTGGGAAGGAAATACAAAGTCCCTACAATGCCTGAACATTCTACCCAAAACAGAAGGACAAAAATTCAAATCAACCCACCCCATGCACAAATGATAGGAAGAGTAAGGAACTAAGGATAATGTTTTAAAATCAAAGGATACTTTGACCAGTTGGCCTGATTCAAATCAATATTCAAAATAGGAACTTAAACACAATCCTACATCCAACAGACACCTTTGTAATGGTAGGGTGAAAAAATGTTGCTTCAAAATCCAACTCAGGAAAGCGGGCAACTTCAGCTGCATTCTCAAATAAGATAAATGTTGGAAGCTGGGCCATGCTTCCTGACAATCAGAAGGCATCATATAAATTGCATATTTGCAATAAAAAACAAAACTAAAGAAACAAGAACAGTATAACATAGAAATTAAGTACTTTTAGAAGGATAAAAGCAAAACCAATTTCAAAAGGCTATCAATTAATATCCATACCACTAAGAGATATTCCAAATTTTTCAGCAGCATTGGGAAAGAGACCAAGATCCACTATTCCAAATGATAAATTTTTGTTTGAATATCTGCCAGAGACATGAATGAACCAAATTGTCAAAAGCTGCCAAATCCTACACCTGCTATGCATAAAGAGAAGTTTCCCTAATATAATTTCTCGGTATTTGGCAGGTTCTAATACAATACTAGAATTTAGAAAAGATTGGATCTAACTCAATTCTAAGTTCTAACTCAAACAAGGAGGAATGCCCAAAAGTCATTATAGTTGGTGCTTTGGCCATGTACCTAGCTTATGTGGTATTTTAACACTAGTTCACAAGGTTTTAGCTTTTCACAAGCAAAGCAATGTTAAGAAAAACAGAGAGATTGATGATAGAATCTCTAAATCTCACAAATGTTCTAGTCTGTTTAGTTTGCGTATTTCTTATTTTCATTTTTTATTACAGAGAAAACAAATTTGAAAACTTGTTGGAAAGTTTGTATTGTAATAAAAAAAACATACATTTCCACAATTTAAAGAAGAAAATTGCTTGCACTCAAAAAAAGGTTTCCTCAAACCAAAAGGACTCTTAATGTTTGGACCACTTCGAAACCTAGTTGATTAAAGGCACCAAAGCTACTCATCTAGTAAGAAAATACAACTTGAATTTGTGCAGAGAACAAAAATGTTCACTAATTTGTCCTTTATTTAAGTGAAGAAGGTGGGGGGAGTTCGAGAGAAAAGTTAGAGAAACACACGTAATTGAGAGTTGAGGAAACAATTGGCTTGAGCGAATGCAAGCAGATGAATATGAAGCACAGAATTCCACCTGCCAACTCACAGAAAGAAAGAAGTACGGATAAAAGTAAGGGAAAGAGAAGGAGAACCAAATAATGACTATTGACTACACTCCAACTCCATAGACTTCTGATATTACTTTCCACTCTTTTTCATGAATAATGGCGCGATAGTTGCATGCATTATACATTTAAACAGAAGTAAATGCATTATATAGCTATTGAACAACACCCAACAACATGTATTACTAGTGACCATTAAATTACAAAAGGGGAAAAAACAGAAGTAAATTCTTCTCACCTACAAATTTTACTCCCACCAATTCCCCCAAACAATGCCTAAAAATAGCAGAGAGAATTGACAAAAATTATTAGTAGATTATATATAGCTATTCATTACTCTGTTTCCCTGAGGTTACCACCCTTGTGATTCACTGAACTAACACAATACAGGTTTTTGAAAGTGAAAGATGCAGAAAGGAATTCCATTTAACTGATAGTACACACCAGGAACAATCGTGCAGTGTTCCCCTCAGTCAGCACACTTTCCAACTGCAATGGTGTTAACTTACTTGAGGTACCTGAGAGAAATAATTAAATAGAAACAGAAATTTATCAGATGACCTCAGATTATAAAACAATATTTTTGTAGCTCTTATGATGCTTTCATATATGAAGAAGCTTAATATAACAAGATCATACAGGCAAATCAACCAAAATCTAACTAGCTGTACCTAGTCCTTGGAATGGAGGTTGTTGTGTTAACATATGTATCACTGCAACGCAGAAAACAATAATAAATTTGCATATATTAACTGGAGGGGTAGAATGACAGTCTGCAATTAACCTTTAGCAGATATCAAATACACACCTTGGACTTATTACCCAAATGAAACCCAAGCACAATAAAATTTACATCATTAAAATAGACATTTCTTAGATGATAAAAATGATGAAAAATGTCCAAGATGTTATTTTTTAAATAAATCAAAAAAATAGTTTCCTGATTGACGGTGCATACATGATAGTTGAAACTTCTACCGCAGGAAAATGAAACATGGTGTGAGTAAAATTGCAACAGTGCTTAACAAGCACATGATAAGATGAAACTACGCACCTAAAAACATAAGAATATACCAAACGGCTAAGCGGCGATCCATTGTAAACGCTAGGGCAAAAAGACAAATCTGAAAATATTAAAATAAGGCAGAAGGTTTGAGAACTGCCACAGAAACACAGAAAGGAAAGAAGCCACAGGTAGGTGCAGCAAGAAAGGGATTTAACACACGAAACATACCCATTACTTGTTTCTCAACCGAAACTGTGCTATTGCTATTAAACGTGGAGCACGAAAATCATCATAATGCATGCTCAATAATTCAATAGACATATAATTAAAATAAATATGTCATATCATGGTGTATCTCAAATTCAAGTTCAAATTATTAAAAAAGAAAAATCAGAAGTAAGAAGGCTATCTTACTATTAATAAAGAAGGGGCAAGGGGAAAGTGATTTATGTATCAAAGAAGGAAGCTATAAAAGTTTTGCAAATGCATCAATGGCGATCACCTTGGCAAGGAAAAGTGCATCAGCTATAAAGGTTTCCCAGGTTTCTTCTTTTACTCCCTGTAACATGTAAAAATAATAGAATTGAATAGGATACATGTCCAAGGTTGAATGAAGCAGTATCTGAAACAGTTGACGGACCATATCCATAGTGACTTACATATGCAAGTAAAAGTAAACCTGAATCTCACTACCACGACATAACTAGACGTTTTTAGTTCAAAAATGTAGAAAGGTTCCTTTTTGGCTTCACTTTGCACCATTCACATTTAATGGGCAAAATCCCTTCCATTTGGCATACTGTTAACGGAAAAGTCGGCAGTCACATTAATTTCAACTATCTTTTCCACTTACATCTGGATTGTTTCACTTAACTCATTGCATTTTGGAGGTTAAGATGATGATTAATGTAACTCCGCACTAGCCACATGGCATTTCCACTTGACAGAAGCTGTTTCCCGCAAAAAATAGAAAATTCAAATCTACTAAATCAATTGCTTACTTTCCAAACCGTAAGGCACATAAATACACTAGACCATGTTTTTCTTTTCTCTTTCGCGTGTTTTTATTTAAAAGAATGAAAAATAAAAATGCAATGGTATATGCAACGCATACATAAAGCATGCGACCAATCCAGAGTTAACGAAAACCATTTCCACTATCATTAATCTAATAAAATTTTCGGCAGATTTAAATGCCGATATGGAATGAAATATCGCATTAAATCATATGCGAATATCAAAATCTACAACAAATTCGATCTGATTTCAACACCTACCTTGATGGCAACCAACACGGCGAACACTAGCAGCGTTTGTATTTCCTGCGAAAGAGGGAAAACGTAAAGTAAGCAATCTGCAAAGAGAGATGAGAGAGAGGGAGAGAGAGAGAGTTACGCGACGAAGGAGATGGTAAGCCAGTTGAGGCGCTAAGACTTGGGTTGCGGAGCTGCGAATGACGAAATAGGAGAAGAACGTCAAGAAATGGAAGAGGTAATAAGGTTCTGAAACCATTTGATTCAGCCATTGCAACACCGGAACAGGAGCACTGTTAATCTCCTTTCCCATTTGGATCGTTTCTAAACTCGTTCCCTCAGATCTGAATTTTCCTCTTCCCTGCTTTCGTTCGATACATACAACTTACACACCCATGCTATATTCTGGTACTCCTTTCCGTGCCATGGTTGGTTTGGCTGGCTTGGTTGCTAACTACCACTTCTCGTTCAAGTTCAGTCTTATAGCTTTTGGGCTACCACGACACATAAAAAGGTGGTTTTTTATGGGCCTGCGTTTCTTGTGGATTAGCCCAATGAATGTTGTCTGGGCTTCAGAGCTTCTGTTTGTATAATTTTTGCACCTCCCTCTTTTTTTTTTTCTTTTACACACCTCCTTTAAAGTTTTTGTAAAAATTATTTAAATTTCGCACCTCCTGAACTAATATCAAATCAAATGCATTTCACATTTTAGATTCCGGAAAGGTAACAATGAGATTGGATAATAAACATATCACAACTTGTTCTGAAAATTTAATTCTTCTGAAAATCTTTAATATAATTATTGGAATTTATTTTTAAAAAATATTTATCTCTGTAGTTAAAAAAATTGCATAAACCTTCAAAAAGCCTTTTATGATTTGGCATGCTACAAAGAAAAACGCATACATATTCTTAAGAATGAGACTAGGAGCTTAAATGAGAAGAGGGTCGATAATTTTCATCTAATAATTAACAAAATTGTAATGGAGGTGTATCATAATTTATTTATATTAATTAGTGAAAGAAAAAATATATAAAATATTTAATAAAAGTAATGAATAAAATGTATAAAATAAAATAAATGTTTTTATTGTTTTTATTTAACTATTTTATATAATTTTTTATTATTTTTACAAATCAGTTATATTATATATCACATTTTATTATATTTATGTTAATTACTTGATAAAAATTTAGACTTGGAGGCTTAATTCAAACATTTGAGAAAAATATGAAGACTAAATGCAAGAAATTTAAACCAAAAAACTAAAATTATACATAAATTAAAATATGGAAAAATATATTATTGAGTAATTTTTTAAAATAATTGAAAATAAAAAAACATCTTTTTTAATACGCAGTCCATAGTTAAATTAACTATAATAAATATTTAATTTTTTAATTTATAAATAATAAAACAACAAATCATGTCAATTTATAAAATAAACAAATTTATTTCTGGATATACTTACGTGTCAAAGTAAGTACTCTTTCTTAAAAACATAAAATTCTTTAAATGTCATAACAACATGACTATACATAGATAATCAATATATACTTTTACAATAAAAAAAATGTTAGAAATATATTCTCTAACACATTTGTTCTCACGCACTCTTTTTTATTATTGACTAATATCTAATTTTTAAATTAATATATCTCTTTCATACTATTGTAGTTTTAAATAAATTTTAACTAATAATAAATAGTATGTTAGTGTGTTAATAGCATTCTTCTTACAATAAAAAAAATTTATTGTAATAAAAATATATATCAAATCAAAAAGTACGCATGTAAAGATTATCTAATACATATAACTAAACTTCAAAAAAAAGTTGGTCTTTAGAAAACTAATGAAAAGAAATAAAGTCTATGGTTGGAAAAAAAATATTATGACATACAAGATAAACTATAAAAAAGAAAGTTATATGAAGAAATTTACGTAATGAATAACAATGTAAGTGATAACAATAATGATAGTAGAGAGTTATAAGAAACATAGCATGAACATAATACGAAGAAGTAAGAACGCGTTGAAGAAAGACACAATTTTGTTAAGATTTAGTTTTAGAGATTGGTTAGCTAACAATTAATATCTAAAAATAAATCTAGAGAGAAGTTATATGTGGAAATGTTCTTCTCCATTTTATAAAGCAATTTCATGCATATCACTATTTAAAGTACATACTTTAAAAATTAATTATATCTTAATTACTCTTCAAACGTAGTTTAGATGGTTTTATACTAACTACTCTTCAAATGAGTTTTAGAGATAAATTCTCTTGTTAGTTATTTTTCAAGTGACTTTATCAAATCAATTATTTATTAATCACTTTGTAAGTTAGAGTTTAAGATGTAATTTAGTGTAATGTGTATGAAGATTAATTTAAAATTATTTGAGAAGATTAAAATATTGAAATAACTATTTACTTCCAATATTTGATATTGTATAAGTAGAAACATTTTTATAAAGTTGAGAATGTGAATATCATAATTAAAATCAATAAATTACTTCCTAGTTCATTCGTCATTGAACAAGGGTATATATTAGAATTATTCTTTTTTTACAATAACATGAAATGGGTTGGACATAAATATTTTTATTTTTATTTGATTTAATTTTGGTAGAATTATTTTTTAAATTATACTTCAATCTAATTAAGACCCTATTTTAAAATATATCAATCTTAACATTTAATCATATACTTAAAAAGTATAAAATTAAAGTTAAAATATATTTTAAATAAAATAATATAAATATGAAATCATAAAATACATATTCAACTAACTTAAAATAAGATCAACTATAACTCAAATTTAATATTATAATACATAAGATCTAAATTTTAAAATTAAAATAAACATTGTATCATAACATGTCACCAAGTGGCCTTAAGAATTTAAGGGAGAGTGAATTGAATTCTAACATTTCATTTTATTTTTAACAAAAATCTCTTTTATCAAAGAAGAAAGATTTATACATATAAACAAGATAATGAATAAAACTCACAACAAAATAAAGAGTCAAGAACAGATAAATGCAAATATAAATTTATCTTGGCTTAGTTACTCTAGTAACTCATGTTTAATTATAAATAATATCAAAAAAATTTATTATTCACCAATTTTTTAAGATGTTTAAAAACTTTTTACAATTCTTTGACCACTTACGCTTTTGAGAATTCTCACTTTAAAACAAAAGAGATGTCTCACATTCTTACAAATTCTCAATATAAAAGAACAATAAAAAAAATATCACTATTTATTTAAAATAAACATTTCAACTTGAAATACTATAAAATTTTTAATAGATAAAGCTTTTTGACCACAAAATTTGATGGAATAATCAAAGGAAAAAGAAATGGTTAAGTGCAATTGATTTTTTTTATTTTAAAATTTATTATTCAATAAATATTTATAAGGTGTTTGAAATTTTATCCCACAATATATGATTTTTCAATATATATATATATATATAATTATTTTGTGTATTCAACTAGACTTAATTGATTACAAGATCCAATAATTGATTACACTGTATAAAAAACACTTTTGTAATAAAAATAAAAAAAAAAAAAAAAAAACTTTACTTCATTACGAAGTTAATTTTAGTGAGTCATGCTCATTCTTAATCGATTACATAACAAATACAATTGATTAGCAAAGTATTAGCTTCTAAGTTATGCCAAAAAATAATATTATAGTTGAAGCAGTTTTAAAACAAAACTTATTAACCATACCTGACTATTTTTTAGAGATTTAATTAATATTATTTTAAAAATAATTTTGAATCTTAATCAATGTAATAATATTTTTTAAATAAAGAAAAACCTAAATCTTAAATATCTAATCATATAATTGAATTTTTCCTCCTCAAATAGTTTTGCATTAAAGTTATTGCAATAGTTGATATTAAATTTCACATTTTCAAAACTCTGCAGCATAACATGTTGGTGAAAATGTTTGAATTTTGTACCCTCAAAATTAAGTAAGATACATGTACATGTATAAGAAAAATATTTCATTAGAGTGAAGGCACGCCTAAAGAAGTATAAAGTAACTAACAAATTTAACTAAAGTTCTACTTTAAATTTATTTTTTGATATTAGGACATTGATTAAAAAATTACAAAATAATTTTTTAATTTAATTTGTGTTTATAACATATTAAAAATTATGATAGAAGTATATTATATGATGCCATATTCATTGAATTATCTATGTAATATTGTAATTCCTAGGGGCTGAAGGCGTCATTTCAGTTGCAGAAACTTGGAACGGGTTCATGTTATTATTTACTTTTAATTTTTGATTTTATAAGTTTTATCTTGCCTTCGTTCCATATTTTATAAAATATACCTTTGAAAACATTAGATTTCACTGAAAAATAAATAAATTGTAATTAATGTCCAATTCTTAGCAATTATATATTTTTCGATACACTTATTATAAATAATTTTGAATGTTATATCATTCACAAAATATATTTTTATACCAGTTATTATCATCTTTTTATTTTTTATTACATTAATTACCTATTTTGATTACCACTTTTTTGTTCTCTCGTGAATTTAACTTTCACTGAAGTTCTTTAACATTTATCGTTACAACATTTTGAAATTGCCGAGAAAACTATTAACTTTTAAAAAAAGAAAAACATTACATCTTGTGATGATAAGTGTAATTTTTACGGTTGCAATAACTTATATTAATGCAACAATAATTGTTATTGTATTTTTAATATTATACAATTAAAATTATTGTTATCATTAAAAAAAGTTTTCATAATAATAATAATAATTACTTTTTATTAACAATGTATACCGTTGACATATTGAATATATTATACTAATTAAAGTTAATATTATAAATTATTTTTCTAAACATATTTTGTAGCCATATTTTAATTTTTCTTAACAATATAAGTGACAGTAAAAAATTATCATTTTATAACAATTTAAATAATTGGGATAAATATTTAATTTTATATAATTTTCTATTAATTTTTATTGTATATAAAATTATTTATGCATATTTAGTTTTATAAGATATTATTTATTTTTATTAATTATGTCCACAATGTAAAATAAATGAGTAATCATTTATAAAAAATATATATAATAGAAAATGAGACAACAATTTTAATAAAAATAATTATAATTTTGCAATTCTTTAGTCAAACGCTTAAAGTGACAAATTAAAATGAACAAAAGGAATATTTATCAATGAATCAAACGAATAAGTTTCTCTCCATCATTTTTTTTTTCAAATAAATTCATTGGTCAATGTGTATTGAAAAATAACTTTTTAAGCAATAATATCAAGAGTAATTTAGGAAACGAAATTTAGTGACTACTAAAAACATATCTTTTGTTATTAATTATTTTTTAATGTATATAAAGTCACATGATAAATATATATATATATATATATATTTATCATAAATTATAAAATCAAATATATTAATAATGATAAATAATTTTTTAATGTGTACTAGAGAAAATAGAATAAAAAATTAATATAAATAATTATTTTTTATTAAAAAATTATATCAACTGCTATCATATGCAAGATTATGCAGAAGGACCAATACTTAATTTTATATATAAGCCAACGAAAATTATAACGAATATTAAAAAAAATATCTTTTACTAGAAATTAATTGTATTTACATTTCACGTATTATGGGTTTGACATGATTAAGAGGCTAGTTATGCAAGTATTACACATGTTATAGATATAGTCTGTGTGATATCTTGTAAGTCATTCTTATGCAAGAAACTATGTCGGTGAAAGAAAAGAAAGGATAAAAAAACCAAGAATATATTAAATTATGTAACCAATGTGAAATTAATATAACAGAGCAGAAACAGATTAAGCAGGGAAATTTAGAGTTTTGAGTAATTAATTAAACTTTGGATTCGAGACTAGCAAAAAAAGGCCTAGAAAATAACGAGCTGAAGAAACATTAGAGTCATCATCGACCTTGACCAAAAGAAAAGAAAGTCGTAATGGGAGCAGTCTACATAAACTCAAAATTTATGAGTCAGGGAAAGGAAAATCCCTAACAAAATTAGAATTACGAAGAAACAAAAAGAAGAGAAAGAATGACGATCAAAACTCTCTAATCAACATATAACAACTCCGCTACAAATTAAATTATCCGAGCCTCCACCGTAGCTGTCCTACACTACCATCTACTAGATCAGCTGCCTGAAATCGGGCCCCACGTGTTGGTGGATCAAGTAATCCTCACCGTTGGATACGTCAAACATCATGTTCTGATGATGGTGTGGTAGGAACTGCTGTGGCTGGTGCTGCTGGGCCCGCACCATCTCCTTCTGCCTTCGCAGCTCCAGCACCTTGCGATGCGAGTTCGAGTGCTTTGTCAGCACGAACGTTGGGCTTGCTGCGGGCCTGTACTCGGGCACCAACCGCCCCGACTTGTACCTCACGCCGCAAGCGTTGCAGAGGGTCTTCGGGCCCATGGGCCCGGTCCGCCACTGTGGAGTCTTGTCCGTAGCGCAATGCAAACACTTGCGCCCGTCTCCGCCACTGCCGTCGCCGCTGTCCTTCTTCCTCGGAGTGGCCTTTGCGTGCTTTTTGGTGGTGACGGGAACGGGTGGAGCGGGGGTTGGAACGACGACGTCGGGCTCCGAAGACGATGACGTTGGGGAGAGGACGAGAAGGCGTGAGGTCCAGTTGCATGGGGGCCCGCGGGACCTCTTGCTGCGCGCCTTGGCTGGAACCGACACTTCTGGGTTGAATATTGGGCTGTTTCGGTTGGGCTCGGAATGGAACTCACGGGCCTCTGATACGTCGTCGTTTCCCGCCTTGATTCCTGATATCCGCTGCAACTTCTGCAGGTCCTCGCTTGAAAAGGATTCCTCCACAAAATTCGAAAGCCATTCCAGCTCCGCTAAATCATCATACTGCGTTCAAATTTCAACTATAATTAGTTCTCTAATATTCCACCCTAAGATATTAATGAACAACATTAATATAATTTTTCAAATGGGTAAAGGTCACAAAATGAAAAATATAATAATGAATAATATTTTTTTAAAAGTTTAATATTTGACGTTATTAATATATTAAAATTTCATTACATGTAAATTTTTATTACGTCTCTTTGAGTATACATGAAAATTAAATAAATTATATATTATACATTTATTATCGTATGCACATTTGTTTCACTGTTTCAGCTTTATTTTATCTTAAGGTAATGCATTCATGCGAAGTGGTTAACTAAAGCATTGATTCTGTTCGTTGGCTAGCCAATAAAATTTATTACCGAGAAATTTCGTAATAATTAAGGGAAATATTACAAGAAAAAGTAGTCTTTGGAACGTGAAATGTGCACAATTCTGTTGTGATAAATGTTTATGTGAATTAGCAATTTTAAGGGGGGAAAACAGGGTCAAAAGGTGTTCATGTAGAGGGAGGCTCTGCTCGTTAAGTTACTCATGGATTGTGAATATGTTTTTATTGATCATTGATACTTGTGGAGGAGTAATACCTAATGTACAAGATAAAGAGAAAAGTAATATCTATGACATACAAATAATGTAGGATGCTAAATAGGTTGAAACTGTTTAGATGAGTATAAATCATAATTTTATATAATAAAATTATCATTGCTTTTATATACTGATTAATATAATATACCGGAACGCATAGGTCACCGGAGAAATGCTCGTCGGAGAGATTCCGGCAACCGACGTCGGCAAGGGTGTTGGGGTCGGAGCCGGAGAAGGAGGAGGAATTGCAGCTTTCAACGGCGGTGAAGGTGGAAGAATCGGTGGAGTTTCCGGGGACAGAGTCGTGGAAGGTGGCGTCGCTAATGATAGCGTCGTCGTTGGAGAAATCTAGGAGGTCCTCAACGATGAATTGGTCGGCGTTATTGGTCTTGTTGTCGCAGGGGAATTGCGAGGAAAAGGTGCTTTGGAAAAACTGGGGTCCTTCCATCTCTGAGCGAATATTAAAAGAAAAAAAGAAGGACAAAGGGTTATTATTATTTTTGTACGTGTTTTTGTTTGTGTATGGAAGAAGAAGCTAAAATTTGAAGGTTGTAGGTTAGGAGGGAGAATTGTGATGACGACGTAACAGGAGCAGTGAAGAAAATTAGTGTGAGAAAGTATAGGGAGTTTGAGGCATAAAGTGAGAGAAGTTGTGGTTTTGAGTGGAGACTGGAGAGAGAGAAAAGGAGAACAGTGTTTATTTGCGTTTGAATGGGACAAGCGAATGCCTATATTGGAGGACTCTTTTTGTTCTCCTTTTCCATTTTTTTTAAAGAAGGAGAAAAAAGTCTCCTGCCGCAAAAATTATAAGTTAAATAAGACCCTTTAATATTAATAAAGACCCTTTAATTGTGTTCAAAGAAACCCCTCCAATTTACGTTTCAAGTTACTTTCATGCCCTTTTTCTTTTCCGAACCCCATTATTCATTCTTCAAATATTCTCTCCTAAAGTGGGTTTCTCCCAAGACCTGCCATTGAAATTATATTAATAATTTTTATAGGGTATTTAAATATACATAATAATTGTTAAAAATATCAATATACTGAATCATTATTTTTTATAAAAATACTTTCATTATAATTTTTAGTATATGCTTTTCTTGAAACAACATAACTTTAGAGTTCCCTATATTTTATGTTAAAATTTCAAATTTGGGTATTTCCGAACTCATAGTTGTATATAATTTATGTTCCATGAAATATTTAGTGATTATGGAGTTGAATTATTTTGGCTATATACCTAAGATACCCACGTCTAGCACTATAGCTTAAGGTAGAAGCATGTTATAACATAATGTGAGGGCACACGTGGAATGTGATGATTTAACATTACTAGGAAAATGAAATGATGAGTGATTGTACGCACGCAACGCAATCATTTTCTGGTTAATTGCTCAACACCTCAAAGTGACCAAAGCTTGGTCACGACAAAAGATACAAAGGGTTAAAAGGGTAAACTCATTTTCATCTAAAAATCAATTGGATAGTAAATGCATAAATTAAATAAGGTGAATTCACCCCTTAGGAAGCGATCAAACAGGTTCAAAGGCCGATTTCATTGCTTTAATATTACTAAATTTTGCCTTTGTTTTATATGGCTATGATCAATGTTTTATATTGTTGGGTCTTTCTATAACACTAATACAGTAATTTTAGCATATGTTAGTTGATTGTTAGAGTAATAAAGCGATGATTTGAAATGACTAATGAGTGGTTAATTAGTTAAAGGGTTTAATATTGAATATTGGGGGGAGAAAAGCAATAGGCATACAGCTAAAAGAGGAAGGGTATTCATATTGCCTTACGATTCGGTTCTCACATTTAACATTGCGTTGACAGCTAAGATTTTATGAACGGGTCAGCTGTTAAAATACTTTGACCTAGCGTTCACATTTTAAGGACTCATGTTAAACTAAAATAGCTAACACATGTAAAGACAAAACACACATTACCATAAACATCAATAAAAGTAAAACACACACTTGCAAGCACGTTTAAAAGGTTCAAAACACAATAATTTCACTCATGCATCCTATTTCTCTTCCAAACTTATTTTTTTTAAAAATTAATTTATTAATATAAAAATGTTATATATTATAAATTTGTGCTTTATTTAAAAATATTTATACTATTAATTAATATTTTATATATTAAATGAATAAATATGTCTACTTGAAAAGGAAAAAATAACTATTTTAACAACACAAAATTTAAAATAAATAAGGATATAGTTTTTTTAACAGTTATATATATTTGAAAATATTTTTTTTTATTTTTATAATTTGAAAATTATTAATAATTATTTCCTATTTATTGAAAGTAAAATCATTTTACATTCATAATGTAATAATTTTTTTTATAAAATTTTAAAAATATATGATTATTTTTAAATAAATTAACTAATTGATAAATAATTATTAATTATTAAGTATAAGCGTCAAAGTAATCCATGTGTTAGACAAATTGACCTAAAATTTAGAAGATAGATAAGGCAATTTTTAGTATTAAAAAGGCAAATACATAGAAATTCAATTCTAGTCACTTTTGTTTATTAATTTTTTTTGTATTATTTGTAATTTTGTACAATAAAATTCAAAAAATATATTTTTTTAATTTACATTTTACATAATATGTCTTATTGCTACTGTACATGCTCAAATAGAAGTTCATAAAAAAAATCAACAATTTATCATAGTTTTCGTGCAAATAATATTTAATATACTCATTAAAATAATTGATTAGATAAAAACATCTTATAATATATATATATATATATATATATATATGTAATATTTGTGTGTGTGAAATATATGAAAAATATCTTTTTTTATTATATTTATATAGTTATTCAATTTTGATAAAATTTTAAATAATTAAAGTAATAAGTAATCATAATTCAATAGTTGATGAAATTTTGTTTTTCATATTAAAATATTGTTAGTATAGGAATATATTATATAACTTATACTGGTGTAATATTTGATTTTATGTATCTACAATATATACATTTAAGAGTTTATGTTGTGAAAAGTTTGACAGGTATTAACATCTCATGAAAAGTTTATCTAAACTCTTTTTTATCTCTTAATATTTTTATAAATTTTATTATTTAAATTTTAAATTATAAAAAAATTATTATTATTATCTAACAAAGTTATTTATTATTTTTTATATTGACATATTATTTTGGCATACTGTATTAGAATTTACTCTAGAAAATTTTAGAAGAAAAGAAATTTATGAACGTTTAAATAAATAAATAAAACTTTCCACCAAATAGTCTTTTCAAAATTTAAATTTAGTTTTTTGTATTCTATAACTTTGAAATTCTTTGGCCTTCAATTATAAATTATGCATTTGAATAGAAGAAAGTTAACAATGAAAGTCAAGTATCATTTATGATTTGTTTTCTCATGTCTTCATATTTGATTCTTTCTTTTTAGGTCTATTGCTCTTTCTTTCTACGTTTACGAATCTTATAAATAAAGAAAATGTTAACCAATGATAGTAAAGTGTAATTTATATTTATTTTCTTATTTATTTATATTTGATTTACCTTTGAATAGAAGGAAAGTTTGACAAAACAAACTCAGGTATCATCTTAATTTTTTTTTTCTTATACCTTTATGTATGGTTTAAATTTCTTTTTCCTCTTTCATTTTTTATTACTTTCTTTTTCTTTTATACGATTTATAAAATATTGTAGTTTTTTTTATATGTAGATTGCTTACACACCATTGTTATGCATTTTTCTATTATTTAGCAAAAATAAACTCAATTATCATCTTCGCTTTGGTTCACCCTTCTTTTTTTTCATTATTCATTACTTTGTTTTTGTTTTATACAATACTTATGGAGTATTTTTTTTTTTTAATATTTTAATTGCTTACACACCTTTATTATGTATTTTTCTATTGTTTGACAGTAAATGTTAAACAACAAACTCAATATGATCTTTCTTATGCATTTTTATTTTTAGATTCTTATTTTTTTAATATTTTGATTGTTTACACATCTCAATATGTTTTTGTTTCTGTCTATGTTCTTCACTTTTTGTTTGTTCGTTAGTATGTTATTATAAAAGAAATTATTTTTATTATTGAGTAGTGTAAATTTAAATTCAATATTAACCATTACTTTTTTACATCTTTGTTTTTATGAGAGTATTTTACAATGAATGCTCTTTTCAACGTTTTTCACCTTCACATATTGTTAAGGATCATTCTCATGCATCTAAACTGCTAAATGAAATTATAAGATTTGTGTATTTATCGAGTTTCACAAAATGTTGCAAATATAAAATTAATTATTTGCTTTGTTATAGTATATATTTTATATATTAATATCCAAATTGATTAATATACATATGTTTAAAATTTATTTCAAAATAATATCAAAGGTTGATGTGAAGGAAATGATGAGTGAAAATTAATAGACCCTATTGGTAATATTTTAATTATAACAAATAAAAGATTTGATAAAAAAAAAATAGTACTTAACAAATAACAAAATAAATTTTAAAAATTTTACCATTTATTAGATGGTCTATATCATGCGTATTTAAATATATTGGTGATTTTAAATTTTATATTATAATTTTTAATTATTTTTGTAAACAAATATGTTATGACTAATTACATATAATATGTATCACTCATGAAGTTAAAATAAAAGCTTAAACCTTTGATTCGTAGAACTTCTTAATTATATTAACTCATTATAAAACTATTAAAAGGCAACCGATATATTTTTATCTTTGCTTTTTATATTTGTATTTTTGTTTAATTTTTTTTCATTATTGTATCATATATTAAATTTATTTTATTTATAATATTAAAAAATCATATTTCAATTAAGAAATAGTTGTTATATTTATATTATTAACACAAAATTTTTTTTACACTATGAGAAAATAAATAGTTATGTCTATCATTATAAAATAAATATAATAAATAATTATTATAAATAATTATTATTATAAAATTATACTGTCATTTAATAAAATATCATATCTTATATTTAACATTAATTAAATACTTTTTTAATTTTAGCCATATTTAATCAAGTTTTTAAATTTTAATATGATCAAAATAGTTTGTTAGTTTAAAATTTACATAACTTGAATTTTTTTATATTTTTTATAAATAATATATATTTTTTATAAAATTAAGAATACTAATACTACATAATAATTTTTTATAAACAAAATTAATCAACCAAATTATTAAATATAATCTAAAATTTGATATTTATTTATATTTAAAAAATTCATTATCTATTAAAATAAAGTAATACGATAAAGAATTCATCACTTTTGTTTTGGTATAAAATTTTATAATGTTAATTTATTTAATAAGAAATTTAAAATTAATAAAAAATTATTAAATAATGTAAATGTTAAAGTTAGTAAATTTGCTAACTGAATTACAAACCCAATGACCTAATAATCTTATTGAGTTATTTATCGATTTGAGTTTAATATCATTGAAAATAAATATCGATTTACGAAAAACAAGTGGTAGTCAAAATTAGCACAGTTAAGTACTGTCTATCTTCTCATTGCATTGGTTAAGAGCGCAGAAACACCACAGTCGAGTTACTCTTTTTTACATTTCTTTTACATTCAAATATGAACGATGGTGTTTGCAAAACTGCTAGTAGAGACGTAAAGTATTATGGTTGAAAAATCACTAAGGAATACGTTATCACTTTTCAGTCTTATCAGAATCCTATTCCTTCTTGCATAGCTTGAGATACATATGGCTAATGCAAGAACATTCCACATACCCCGCAACAATATTATTATAGCAATATCATTAACAAATTCTGATAAATTGAACATTGATCATAGTCATCATCAAGTATTTATTATAATCTAGGAATATTTATTCAATGGGGTGTTATCTGCTCTGAAATGATAACGTCTTTTTGACTATCGTTGACGTGAGGATGGAACTTGCAAAAGGCACTTCGATGCTGAAGTTAGGATTCGGTTCTGAGTAATAAATATTATTTAATAATGAAAAGTCAACTATTTACCTGTACTTTTTACCTTCCTTTTATAAGTATTGTTATGGACTAATGGGCCTGATGAGTCAGTCTTGAGTTTTGACCATTTACTTTAAGGTAGATAATGCCCTAATTATTATCTTTAATTGAATTAATTACCTTATAATCCTGACAAAAGGTATTCAATCAAACTGAACTGAATAAGTATTGGGTTTCTTTTTTCTATATGCACTTCCAAATCTAGTTTTTGATCATTAATTTACATGAAACCCTGTTAAAAGAAGCCAATTGTTTCCATCTTTCTTAATATATGATAAACACTACGACCGTATAGAGAGTCAAGTAAGAGTGGTTTTGGGAGGCTGAGCCGGGAAAATATTTAAAAGAAAAAAATAAATTACGTGTACCACTTACACATTATATCTTAAAAATAGAATACTCATGTGTAAAGTAAAACTATGTCTGTTTTGGGTCAACTGTCTGCCGAAATTGCGTGGGCATAACAATCTCTGTTTTCAGCAAAATAAAAGGTTACGTAAAAAATAAAATAATTTACCGTTGTAAATTAAAAAATGGATTATTATGATATATATATATATATATATAATTAAATTATTATTTTCAACATATTTTATTTTTTCTAAATATACCTTTCTCAACTAAATTCTTCTGATTGGCAATTTATGTCTTGTTGAATGCTTAAAAAATAGCTAATCAGCAAATAGCAATGCAGAATATCCCTATGAATGTGTTGAAGTACATATACAATGCTCATTTAATTCGTATACTTTCGTTCTTATTTCAAATCAGTTTCTTATAATTTTCGAATGCTGTAAAATTATCTATTTAATCTTCAAATATTACAAAATAATTCCTGTAATTTTCAAAGGCAAAATGGTAATAATAAAGTTTTTATAATGTGATTCTATCCATGTGTAAACAATCCAACAAATATACAGAAACTATTTATATTAAAAAAAACTGCAAAAAATTAGATTTTCAATTAATTATAAGATCAATTTTAAAATTTGAGTGAAACGACCAAATTATTAATTTAGTCAAAATAAAATAAGAGATGTCAGGTTAATGTTAATTTAATTTTTAAAATTAGTAGAGTTGTTCAATTTAGTCCTTAATATTACAAATAATAATAATTTCATCTGGTCCTCAGTATTATGAAAAAATAAATAAATTTATCTCTTAACTTCAAAAATTACCAGTTAATTTAATCTACGTGAGGCAATATTAATTTAGGAACCTAACTAATTTGAGGGTAATCAAAGTTGGTTGCTAAATTTACCTTTTTATAATATAAAAAAATTAACTTAATAATACTAATTTAAAAGACGAAATAAATAGGAAAGATATAACTGATTAGTAATGCTATAACATAAAAAATGACAAACCCAAATTTTTTAATAAAATTCACCCATTAAAAAAAATGCAATGATATAAAGGAGCATGTTCCATCACCGAATCATAGCAATGAACTTGTGAAAATTGTTTAATAAAAATTCTTAAAATAATAATTATATTTAAAACTCGGAGAATGAGAGAGAATTTTATTATTTATAATAGACGTAGCTTTGTTATTTAGATAGTGAACAACCAATATCGTATATTATACTTTTGTTTCTTCTTTTTAATTTTGTTTATTTACAGACAGCTTAAAAATATAAAATAAATAAAGAGATAAACTAAAGTTTTCTGATAATAGATTGACCCAACTCGTGCCTAATCAATGGAATAGTCAACGTAATAGCCACGTATTAGTAGTTCCAAAATTAGAGAGTATGTTCCAGCAACGTTGCTCATGCTTTTAAATAGAGGTGCTGGTTTTATATCCTCTGGCCATCTAGAGAATGGAAGACACCACCGTGAATTTTCACAACTTATCATCTGCTAAGGTTGTCGCTGTCGCTACAGGGGAAGCACACACTCTCCTTCTTACCGGTAACTAACGATCTTGTTCTTATGTTGCACTTTCTAGTGGGGGCTTGTTATTGTGAGAGAATTGAACTTATTTTGGTGTGTAGGGGATGGATGTGTGTATTCTTGGGGAAGAGGAATACTGGGGCGGCTTGGTGGAGGATCAGAACGAGATGAGCATTTTCCCGTTCTTGTCAAGTTTGGATCAGAACATGACTCTGTCAGAATAGTGGGAATTGCCGCTGGTGCTTATCATAGTCTTGCTCTAGCAGGTTCTAACGCTTCTCAGTTCTTAAAATGAGTTTCTGTAGATAATTTAGAAAGTGAAGTTGCAGGTCTGTTTGGTGGATAAGATAATCGGTTATAATATGATAACTTTTTCTATCTTATCTCATTTATCATGTTTGTTTAAGATATGATAATTATATCTTATACATTTATTTTATTCTACTTTTTAGTATAAATTTTTTTTTGCAGAAGTAGCAGGTTCTAACCTCCTTGCATTTACTTGACACAAATTTATATTGGATATACTGAATTTTTTCAGATGATCTCTTTCAATGTATTACAATTCATCAGTTATTGGGCGTAGTAACAGTGCTTATATTATCAATGCTATGAAAATAAATAGGAAGAAATAATTTGAAACTGAGTTTGGTGAAAGGTTCTTCCCCCTCTCTAATTGTTCATGCTACTCGTGTATTGACAGATGATGGATCTGTTTGGTGCTGGGGTTACAATATCTGTATCCTTAATATGCTTGAAGTCCCTTTTTAGAATTAGATTACATAAATTGCTCGTTCAGTTGCTCTTAATTATAAAAATTTGCCCATATACTGTTTGTGAATATCCTTGACTTTTTTTTGGATGGTCAACTTGGTATTAATGGAGAGGATTACCATAGCAGAAAAAACACAGATGGAGATTATTCTGTAGTGCCCTGCTTATTGAACAACTTTCTTGAGTTGCACCCTCCTGATTCTTCATCAACTGTTTCAGAATCAGAACAAAAAGCATCACTCAAGGTATGATATGAATTGCACATTTTGAATTTGTTTCAAAGCAAAAACAAGCCAAGGTTTGTGCCTCACTGGTGTGTTTTCAACTAACTGTTTCGCAGATAATTGCTGTAAAAGCAGGAGGAATGATGTCTCTATCTATTGATAATCTTGGGGCCTTGTGGATGTGGGGAAATTGTCCTCAGCAAAGCAAAGAAGGTGGCTTCTCTCTTATAAGCGATTTCACTCCCACGCCAGTGTGGGATTTTCATGGACACACAGTAGTTAAAGTAGCATGTGGAAATGAACATGTTGTAGCACTTGTTAGTGCTGGAGAATCATACAAGGGTGAAGGTGATCTAGTGTGCTACTCTTGGGGTAACAACAATCATGGTCAATTAGGCTTAGGGGATAAGGAGAATAGGCCAAGACCAGAAGTGGTGAAAACATTTGATTTGGATTCGCCTTGGGCAATTTATGAGGTAGCATGTGGTGCCTTTCACACCGCTTTGCTCACTCATAAAAAGAGGCCTAGTGACACATTAGAAAGTAGTAGATGTTGGACATTTGGCCTTGGGGATAATGGTCAACTTGGACATGGAACAACACAAAGCACATTACTTCCTGAAGCTGTGAAAGAATTGCCACAAAATGTGCATCTAATTTCTTTGGATTGTGGCTTGTTTCATACTTGTGTTGTTTCCTCAGCTGGGGATGTGTGGTCGTGGGGAATGGAGAAGGGTCTTGGCTTATGCCCTGATGATAATTATGATGGAACAGATTCTGGTGATGCTCTTTCTCCCCTTCTTGTCTCTTGCAATCCTTATCAACCGAAATTTCCAAAACCGGTTCAAATAGCGTGTGGGGCTGCTCATACTATCCTTGTTGCACATGAGGGATATAAGCTATGGTCTTGGGGTAGAGGAAGGAGTGGTGTTCTTGGAAATGGTAAGACTATGGATTGCTACACTCCCACCATAGTGTTATGGCCTCCACTCATGGAAGATTTCAAACAACAAGAGGAACTACATAGCTATGTTGAGCATGATAAGATGAATGAAAAGGTGATTGAAGAAGTCAAAGAAACAGATGAGAAATTATTAACTGAATTGAAGCTGCTTCAAACAAAGGTAACTATTATGGAAAGATATGCTAGTATGCTTCATGGTTCTATCTTTGGAGAACCTTTTGATGAGCAAGATATCCCTGTCTCGTTGCAAAATTCAGGTGCATTTGATATTGCAAAGGAATGGGAGAACATGTTAGAGGCTGCTGATCATACAAAGCTAATTAAGTTGCAAATGCTCTACCGAAACATGCTTGCTGGTGTGAAAGATAAACTTATGAAGAGAAGGATTAAGGAGATTATAAATGAATGCCTACAATCTACACAGGTGGAAAATTAGTATATGTAGAAATAAGAAGTATACCATTCTGGTCAAAGGATTGCACATTCAACTTAATTAGCTAATTGTGCCAAATTATTGTCTCAGAAATTTCTTTTATATTTGTGAGAGTATTTCTATAAGACTCTCTTGGGGGATTGAGTTCTGTACAGAGTTTAGCACCAATAGCCCTCAATTTTTATGTAAGAAAAGCTCAGTTTGCTATATCCAGTAGTTTGTATCCATCCTCTTGTTGCAGAATAACTTGCTCCTTACTCACTTACTGGGGATTCAGTAGATAATTTGTCAGTCTTGTATAACTCCGTACTCCTCCTTTGCCTTGTATATAGGATCATTGTATAATTATTTGAGTGCAAAATAATAACATTCAATTCTAGTCTATCACACTTTCTTTCTCTTAAACATCTAACTTTCTTTTATAAATATTGTTCAGAAACCTTTATAGTGTCAGAGCATGATCCTATTCATGACCCCCACAAATTTAATGGTAATTTTATCGAGTGAAAATATAAGTGCTTGGCGGTATCAAAGGATTTAGACTCCAAAATTACATCTGAGTTAGAATAAGGTGGAAAACTTGAGAAATACCTCGACGAGGATGGTGCATGGAGAGCTAGTGATGCATATAATATTTGGGAGCAAGAAGATCAATAGAATTGAATGGTGGGCAAATTTTAAAATTGATTTAATAACAAAAAAGGAAAAATTGATTAATCAGTTTCTAATTATCTTTACCGCAAAGATCAAAATTAAAATTTCAAGAAAAAAGAATCTTATTTTTACAAGATGAGTCAACAATTATGGCTAAGCTTGCAACGACCACCTCTTTCAAAGAATTCAAATAAAAATGGCATTAGGTTAAGTCATCGTGCCAAACAATTTTTAAAAAAAGGGTCAAAAGACATTATTGAAAAACCTTCTAGCATAACAAATTATCTTTAGAAAAATGAAGATAATTGCTACAAACTACTATTTGAAAGCAAATGTTTTTTGAGTAAGCAATCCTAAGAGACTCTTTATAGACTTTTTTTTTAAATGTTATTATACTTTTATTATAAGAAAGCTTTTGTCCATTTTTTTTTATCAATGTCTTGTAATTTCTTAGCTTTCTACATATTAATTTTCATTTACATTGATGTCAAAATTATTATAAATTCAATGCTTTTCATTATTAGTAAGTGAAAAAAATAATATTAGAAGTACATTTTAATCAAACATAAATTGGTAATTTAAACATTATGAAATATATGTTTATATGGACTATTTATGAAAAAAACCTAAATAAATTAAATATTAAACTTGATTTTAAATTACTAAACATATTTAAAATATAAGTTCAAATTAATCTTAACTTTAAACTTATACCAGAACTTATACCTGTATATATAATGTATATATATACATGTATATAATAACTTTAAATAAATAAACTCTAACGAAAAAATATTTCCCTTATTTTAATTATTTCCCGCGTAAAAACCTTACCAAAAAAATTTTGGGTTAGCGTAGTCGCTGATTATTATTTGCTTTGCCCCTAAAACCCCAAAACCCTAAAGCATTCTCCTCTTTCTAAAATGCCCTCCGACCCCGTCGGCAACGGCGCTCTGGTCCCCTTCTCCGGCGATTCGCCGGCGTTATACACACTCCACCACGGCCTTGCCCCTCCGGTTTCTCGCCTCGCCATCTCCTGGTCTCGCGGCAACTCCCTCTGTGTCTCCTTTTTCGCCGGAGCCGGTGCCAAGGTCGTCGAGGTTAAGCTCAGCAACGAAGATTCGGAGATTGCCGACGCTCACCGGCGGCGAATTGCCTATGGCTCCGTCGCGCCCTTCGCTCTGCTTCAAAGTCGAAGGAGCTCTCTATCCGCTCTCTCGAAGACTCCTTTGCCTTATCATTCAGATTGGTAATTCAACCCAAGTTTTAACACTTGTTTGTTTAAGATTAATTTTGGAGAAACAATAGTTTTTTCTTTTGAAGTTTTCTTGTAATGTTAAAACAAGTAGTCATTGTTTCTTTGAAATAAGCTGAAGGCACTTAAATTTGAGGCACCTAAATTTTATACTTATATTTCGAAAACATGGAGCGAAAGTCAGTTTGTTGATTCATTGGATTCACCTGCTTATTTGTTTCGGTTTTTATTAAGATTTGAAATTTGAAGGCATGCTTGTTTCTTTTTGTTCGTATAAATGAATTTTGTTATTTTTAAATTCGGGGGCATTCCGGTTTTTCCATGTTGGCCTATGCTTATCGAAACTAAATGATGATGTTGTTAACTCCAGTTTTAATTTTAATTTTTCTGTATTGGTTTCATCTCTGTGCTAAGTGTATCTCCTGCATCTGATTGCGGCGGTAAAAATGCTCCCTTTCATCTCTGTGCTAAGGGTATCTTCTGCATTTGATTGCACTGTCGAATGTGGTAGCATTGGAAGTTGCTCACTTAATTTTTATATTTATTTTTGAGTTAAGTGCTTTGTGGGTTGTTAGGGACGTGCAGTTTCTCGCAAGTGTACTTGTTGACAATAGGTTAACTAGTTATTTTACTATCAGGTGGGAGCATGTGCTTCAGTATAGCAAGGAGATAGCTTTGCTTCTTGGGGGACCAAAGTTGCCCCCTTGTCCTGTAATTGAAGACCCACACACAATTGTTAAGGTACCACTGTGTGTAGTTGAGCTGAGACCTGCTTTGTGGGACTTATATCACTGAGAAGTTAGTCACTTGCTTTTTGACACTTATTGTAGACAGGTGAGGAACCAACATGTTTGAAAGCTGCATGGGAGTTAATGGAAATATTTTATGTGGACAAGCAATGTCAAGCATGGCTACCTGAAAGGCTTGTTGATTGGTTAGCTGTAATATTCTCTTTTTATTTTCTTGGCAGGTTTTGTAAATGGTTGCATTTAGTTTTAACACTGATCGAATATACTAATTTAAGGTTCACGGTTGCATTTTGTGACAGGATTATGACAGCCTCTTTACTAGTTCACATGAAACAATTCATGGCAAGCTTGTGGATTTTCAAAAAGAGCTTGTCAACCTACAGGTCTGGCAATAACTGCATGTGATGAATGTAATAATAATAAATGCCTTTTATTTGTATATGAAGAATTCTAGATATTGGGAATATTTGATTCTTGAGTCTCGAGTCTTGGAGTGGGTAAATGGTAATTATATATCAGGTTATCCAGTGTAATTATAGGTTGGGATGCTAATACAGGCCAGGCTTCTGTGTGTAAATTTATTTCTCTAGACCCAAGATTATACTGCCTGAGATTTTGCTTTACTTGATGGTATTTAATGCTCATGTCAACTTTTGGGAGGACCATTGGGTAGGAGATTACTCTTGTTATTTGTATTCTCTATGACTTGTCCAGAGCTAGTTTGGTGCGAAGATCACAAAATCTGTTTAAGGATCTTGGTAACCAAGTCCTGCCAGCTGATCCTTTGTGGGAATGTGATACACATGTAAGCTTTTATTAATCACCTTTTCTCTAACAAAGAAAAGGTATGTGTTTTGTTCTAGAGTGCTGTGCTGGGTTGATTCAGTAATACAGTACTCAAATTATTACAAAGTATTATAGGAATAGGTGCAGGAACATGAAGTTCCATGCAACTGAATCCAAAGTATTTCTGCTGCTGTGTTAGCCATGCTGTGATGTTCTGCTTCTGTACTTGACCTAGCAACCAAGGTTTACTTCTTCAACCACCAGGAAACTAGGTTTGGACCTAGAAAGATGCATGAACCAGAGGTTGTCGCCTGTCATCTGGGTCACTGATAGACATCCTGGGAGTCAATTTTCTGCTGTACATTCTTCCTATTCTTGGTGTTGCACCACATTTGGGCAAGAACTTTAGGATCTTCAATAATAATACTCTTTCATTCATATTCTGATCCAGCTTCTATGAACTGCTATCAGAGCAAGAGGAGTTTGAGTTTTAAAGAATGGAGAAGCAAGTTCTTGAAGAGTTCATGAAAGAAATCTCAGACATACCAGAATTTGAAGGCAAAGAAGCCTATTGGTGGCTGATTAATGTGGAGCAGCACTTTGAAGCCACTGCAATAGTTGAGGAAAAGATACAAAAGCTTGGGAAGGCTATAAGAGAACTTTGTTTGGTGGTTTGTGTGGAAAGGAGACATTCCAAGTGTATCATGATGGGACTTTTAAAAGACTTTACTTAAAGAATTTCAGCCGAAATATGACATAGATCTGCCTGTTTGGGTTGAAGATCAGGATTCTTTGGTGCTAGAAAACAAATTAGAAGATGAAGGTTTGGGGAGCAAAGAATACCTTCGAGGCTAGAAACAAATACAGAAAAATGTGCAATTGTTCAAGAAAAGGAACAAGAATCATGAAGCTAGAAATCTTGAAACCAAAAACTAACAAAGAAAAAGAAATCAACAGGGAAAAAGTTCACATTCTGGGTAAATAACCAAAAATGGAAGTGTTCAATTGGTTGGGACAGAGACTCTGAGTTGTCTTGAATATAATTTTTCCAGTTCTTCTTTTCACTAGTAAACCAGTTCTATCATCTCATCTTATTAATGAATTCCTTGATCCCCTAGTGTCCCCAAAAGCAAAATTGAGGAGCCTTGGATGTAGTTATTTATGACACTAGGGTTCTGTTCTATGCAGTCAAAAGTAGTTGGAAGAGTTATAAGGTCATTTATTAAGTTCAGAAAGAATCCAATCAGTTGTAATGTTGTAGAATTATATGGACTAACTAAATAGTGGTTCTTTGTATTTTCATTATAGTTTTAGTTAAGTAAATTCAGACCTTATCTTCTGGTTTGTCTCTAGTTCAGGGTTAGAATTCAGATATTCGGGTTTCTTATCTGTTGAAGGAGGTGAACTCCTCTCACACAACCCTTGTTATTCACGCATTACCCATCCTGTTTTCTTATTTTATCTTGATTTAAAATCAAAATTATAAACTTTATTCCTGGACTGCAGTGGCATGTGCCTCTGGTTTATTATTATAATTTGGTAGTCATAGTTGTTAATAG